CTGCACACAACACAGGTCCTCTCAAAAATGTACTTATTATTAATTATACATCTCCATAAAAACAAGGCAATTACACTAACTCTTTTCAGCTAAAAAGCCATGACTGACTGATGAAACCAGTCCATTAATATGTCCATCCCGATGTTAAGGTAGAAGGGGTAATAATAAAAAAAAAATACAGTTGTGATTGTTTAAACTACAATATTATTAATATTATTAATAAATATTTTAAACAGTAAAAAAGCAGATATAACAACCAAAAAACATATGAGCAAAAATATAAATTTCTCCAAACAGCAAGAGCTGGCATAAATAAACAAATAAAGCTATAAGGCTTTGATAAATACAAATGGACATCCAAGTGGTGGTTTAAGCCAAGGGAAATTCCAGAGCGCAGCTTAAAAATCCAATAAACTTCCTGCTCCAAAAACCTCTTAGAGAGATCGCCATCTCTAGAGGACAAAATTACCCGGACAAGCCCACAAAAGGAGATATATGACATGTCCCCATTATGTCTCTATAAAAATGATTAGACTCATTGGCAGGTCATGAAGCTTTCATATTTTCAGGGTTGCCAATCACCTGCATTTTCATAAACAGTTTGTAAGAAATACCCTGCTTTCTCGCATCAGTTAAAGTCTGTAGGCTGGAGAAACTGTCTGTGAAAACAACCCAGTTGGTTCCATTGTAGTCTCTAGGTTCCACTTCTACACCTAGCTGTCCTCTGCTGTCATCAGCTCTGGTAGTTGGTTGCTAGGGATTCCCAGCATCAAAGCTACCAGTGAATGCTTGCCCCAAGATGGAATCTCCTCCTCCTGATCTGCTCTGCCTCCTAATGTTTTGCCTCCCAGCTTCTACCCCAGGGAACACTGAGGACTCTGATGTAAGGGGGGACTCTGCAGATTCTGATGTAAGGTGGAACGCTAGGGATCCTGATGTAAATGAAAACGCTTGTTTCAACAGTTGCTAGTTTAGAGGATGTCCTTCTTTATGGTAAACTCAGTCAGATAACATGATATCTTTTTATGTGCAGAAAAGCATAGGTAATGGAAACATTTAATTTTTCTAAAAATGATCCTTTGTCCTGAGGTTTATGGCTGTCTGTGAAACTCCCTGACATAGCTCATATTTGGGAAATGACTTTTCAGTGAGTGGGCAGAGCTGAAAGACTACTTCCCCATCAGGTCCACTTTACTTTTGATTGATAGTGTATGACAGTACACAGATTCATTGAAAACCGCTATTGGCTTAGAATAGTAGCTATGGATCAACCCACTGCCTGCTAGGATGAGTGAGTGAGTGCACTGAGGAAGGAGTGTCCAGTGTGTCTCTGACAGGTACATGAATTGGCTCAAGCACCAACATTTATGGTGCTGTGTCATGGAAAACGTCTAAAGAGTGTCTGCAACACCCTTTATGAATTCCCCCAAATGAGTCCCAGCCGAGAAAGCTCTTCCAGGTACTTATTACTGTGTGACTGAAACTGAAACAGTTGATCTCTACCCTTTCAAAAGTGCTCTGAAGACCAAGAACACTGACCCAATAAATCCAAATAAGAAGCACTTCTGGAGCATCTGTTAAACTCTCCCTTCAGGCTTTCCATCTTCTATGGAGTCTTTGGGGTAGCATAGACTCATCTGTGCATAATTCAGCTTGCAGCACACCTGCCTTCTCCATACCCATATGGAAGAAAAATATATCTGAAATATATTTTTAAAATATTCTTCCCAAATATATTGACATATATTTGAAATGCTACAATTTTGGCCATATTCAATATATTTAAAAAAACAAAACATATATATATATATATATATATATATATATATATATATATATATATATATATATATATATATATATATATATATACACTGCATGTTGAAATGTGTTTTTATTACAAAGTATATGAAAAATATTTTTGAACATGCATTTCAAATATACTGTATGTCTTTAAAAATACAAATCTACATTTTTGGAATGCATTTGCAGATATATGTAAAAATATATGTTAAAATTACTTTTTTACATGTTAAAAAAATCTGAAGAATATATTTAAAAAATATATATTTTTAAAAATATTTTTCATATATTTTGTAATATATAAAAAACGCATTTCAACATGCAGTGTATATATATATATATATATATATATATATATATTTGGGAAGAATATTTTTAAAATATATATTTCAAATATATTTTTCTTCCATGTGGGTAGACTACAGCATATACTGTGTTTGACTGACAACGCTTATTATCCAATGATTGAGTACTGTGGGTCACCTTTCACCCTTGCCCTTGTTATCTCCCTACTGTCCTCGCCATGTTATGCTCCTGCTTCCCTGCCTCAAACCATTGCCCAAAATAACTCTAGATGGCTGTGCTACACAGAGAGAACTTGCATTATTATGGTTGTCTACAAGATGAAATCACTGTGCTAAAATAATCTGTATTGATAACTAATAAAAATACATAAATCATGTAGTTTTCCATTATCAGCTCAATTTAGAATTCCAATAGTTTCTCTACTTATTTTTGAGCTTGTGGAAATGAAAACATATAATTTCTGTTGAGGTTATATGGTAACAATAGCAAGGGAGATGGCAAACAGTTCAAAGACAAATGAACTGTTGGTTATGGATATCCCAAGGTAATGACCTCTTAGAAACAAGGCAATGCATCAAGGACGGAAATTATCCTTGTGGTAATTGTGGTAATGTTTTCCTGAATACAAGATTTTATTTTTTAATAAAACAGTGAGCAGAAAGTAGACTTGAATAGTACACTTGCTATTACGGACCATAAGTGAATAATGAAGGGAAGGAATCCCAGAAAGCCCTCATCTTAGAATTCCAAGCACATTTACAACCTTTGCCCAGCTACGATGAAGCGAACAAGTGTTTCTTTTTTGTTGCCATGGGTAGAACTTTTGCTAAAAAGAGAAGCCTGACAAAGGATATATATGAACAAAAACTTTGCAAAATGGGACTTTATATATACCTCCGAAGGTGTAATACAGACAAAAAAGTATAAATGTGAAATATCGCCACTTTGTTTAACATACAGTCAGGTCCATAAATATTGGGACATCGACACAATTCTAACTTTGTTGGCTCTATACACCACCACAATGAATTTGAAATGAAACAAACAAGACGTGCTTTAACTGCAGACTGTCAGCTTTAATTTGAGGGTATTTACATCCAAATCAGGTGAACGGTGTAGGAATTACAACAGTTTGCATATGTGCCTCCCACTTGTTAAGGGACCAAAAGTAATGGGACAATTGGCTTCTCAGCTGTTCCATGGCTAGGTGTGTGTTATTCCCTCATTATCCCAATTACAATGAGCAGATAAAAGGTCCAGAGTTCATTTCAAGTGTTCTATTTGCATTTGGAATCTGTTGCTGTCAACTCTCAAGATGAGATCCAAAGAGCTGTCACTATCAGTGAAGCAAGCCATCATTAGGCTGAAAAAACAAAACAAACCCATCAGAGAGATAGCAAAAACATTAGGCGTGGCCAAAACAACTGTTTGGAACATTCCTAAAAAGAAGGAACGCATCGGTGAGCTCAGCAACACCAAAAGACCTGGAAGACCACGGAAAACAACTGTGGTGGATGACCGAAGAATTCTTTCCCTGGTGAAGAAAACACCCTTCAGAACAGTTGGCCAGATCAAGAACACTCTCCAGGAGGTAGGTGTATGTGTGTCAAAGTCAACAATCAAGAGAAGACTTCACCAGAGTGAATACAGAGGGTTCACCACAAGATGTAAACCATTAGTGAGCCTCAAAAACAGGAAGGCCAGATTAGAGTTTGCCAAACGACATCTAAAAAAGCCTTCACAGTTCTGGAACAACATCCTATGGACAGATGAGACCAAGATCAACTTGTACCAGAGTGATGGGAAGAGAAGAGTATGGAGAAGGAAAGGAACTGCTCATGAACCTAAGCATACCACCTCATCAGTGAAGCATGGTGGTGGTAGTGTCATGGCGTGGGCATGTATGGCTGCCAATGGAACTGGTTCTCTTGTATTTATTGATGATGTGACTGCTGACAAAAGCAGCAGGATGAATTCTGAAGTGTTTCGGGCATTATTATCTGCTCATATTCAGCCAAATGCTTCAGAACTCATTGGACGCCGCTTCACAGTGCAGATGGACAATGACCCAAAGCATACTGCAAAAGCAACCAAAGAGTTTTTTAAGGGAAAGAAGTGGAATGCTATGCAATGGCGAAGTCAATCACCTGACCTGAATCCGATTGAGCATGCATTTCACTTGCTGAAGACAAAACTGAAGGGAAAATGCCCCAAGAACAAGCAGGAACTGAAGACAGTTGCAGTAGAGGCCTGGCAGAGCATCACCAGGGATGAAACCCAGCGTCTGGTGATGTCTATTCGTTCCAGACTTCAGGCTGTAATTGACTGCAAAGGATTTGCAACCAAGTATTAAAAAGTGAAAGTTTGATTTATGATTATTATTCTGTTCCATTACTTTTGGTCCCTTAACAAGTGGGAGGCACATATGCAAACTGTTGTACTTCCTACACCGTTCACCTGATTTGGATGTAAATACCCTCACATTAAAGCTGACAGTCTGCAGTTAAAGCACATCTTGTTTGTTTCATTTCAAATCCATTGTGGTGGTGTACAGAGCCATAAATTTTAGAATTGTGTAGATGTCCCAATATTTATGGACCTGACTGTATATCAGAGTGTTCCATTAAAAGAATAAAAAAAATGTAAACATCTTAACCATCCAACATGGTCATTCATGTACTCTTGAGATCAGCTTGTAAATTTTCAACACGTTTCATGGGAAAATCCAGCTTCATCAGCACCTTGGGTCATAATATAACCAACTGCTGAAATATATATACAGATGGATTACAATTAAAAAACTGTAACTGTTTTTCACAGACTCATAAAAACAGTTTATTACAGTTTTACATAACATAAAGATATATATATATATATATATATATATATATATATATATATACACTATATTGCCAAATTATTGGGACACCCCTCCAAATCATTGGATTCAGGTGCTCTAATCACCTCCATGGCCACAGGTGTATATATATATATATATATATATATACATATATATATATATACATATATATATACACAGTTGTGCTCCAAAGTTTGCATACCCTGCCAGAAATTGTGAATTTTTGGCATTGAAAATATATGAAAATATAGTCATATTGAAAATATGACTGATCATGCCAAAAACAAAAAATTCTCTTTTATTGAAGGATGATGATCATATGAAGCAAATTATTATCAAATAGCTGTTTGGCTCATTTTTAAATCATAATGATAACAGAAATCACCCAAATGGCCATGATCAAAAGTTTACATACCCTGGAATGTTTGGAATGTTTACATGAAAAAACTTTTTTTTGCTAGAAAATTTCTTTTAACCCCTAAACATTATATATATATATATATATATATATATATATATATATATAATTTAAGCAATGGCCCTACAATACAGTGGTGGGTGTGGCAATTTTTTATACCACACAGTATCTGCATGGCGGTTTTTCAAAAGCTAATTTTTGGGAAAAAATACACTTTTTTTAATCTTAATGCACAAAAACACAATATATTGCCCAATTGTTTGATAAAATATAAAAGATAATGTTACAGCAAATAACTAGATACCAAACATGACATGCTTTAAAATTACACATGCCCATGCAACGGCAAAAGACTACAGTATGTTCATTTTTAATCTCAATAGACGATGCTTTAAAATCTTTTACAGGTTGCTACTTTATATTTACATAGGAGGTCTAATGCTAGAATTACTCCCTTTGATCTGATGTTTGCGGTGATAACTCACATGCATGGTGCAATCTCTGTTTACATACTGACATGGGACCTACGCTTGCGTTCGCCTTTGCGCTTGAGCACAAAAAAGGGGGGCGGGGTTGTTTTTTTTTTTAACATTGTTTTTTTTCCTATCTTTACATTGTCCCTTTTTTTTTGATCACAGGGAATGTAAATATCCAGTATGCAATGACAGGTATTCTTTTCTGAGAAATATCGGGTCTATTAGACTCTAGATCTCTCCTCTGCCCTTAAAGCACCTGATCAAACAAAGATTGATGTGATCAGATGCTTTCCCAGTTTAAAAATTGTGCTAATACCTGGTGAAACAGAATTGATGAAATGCTCGTAGCTTTTAGTTTCTTAGACCATAGAGATGATTGGAGCTATTTTGGTCTTCGATCAGCTCTATGGTCAGCTGATGGAACTGCCGACTGCGTTCTTGGATTCCCCTGTGTAACGGGAGAGCCCAAGAAAGTCATGGGAGGTGGCGGGCGAAGTCCCTTCCTACTGCTAGTAAAAATGATTCCGCAGCTAATTACCACTATGGTTGATTTTACATGAAAGCTGACCACCAGCTGAAAAAAAACGATACCAGGATGATACCTGTAGCTGCAGGCATCCTCCCGGTATAACCACTCAAAGTCCAGCAATGTACCAATATGTTGCTGGTCCTTGTTGGGCATATATGTAACAGCAGAGAACACGGGCATACGATGAATCGGGTCTGTGGACCAATATGAACACAATTCATTCTTTTTTGTAATGCCAATGTTGAGTGTTGGGCCCAAAAAAGTTTTAAATTCAGAAACCGTGATAGGTTTCCATGCGAATTGTCTGGCAAGAGCTGAATTTGGGTGGACAGCAATGTATTGTTGTGCATATAAATTGCCTTGGCCCACAATCAATTGGTACAAATCTTCAGTGAAAAACAGAGCAGGGGATAAATGCTAGAGCTGGCAATAAACAGGGCTGATCCTGCTAACACTGCATTTTTGGGGACACTATACAAAGCAGGCACTAGTATAGTTCTGTTCATGATCATTATATTGATCTGTACAAACACTATACTAGTAATGGAGGTGATCAACGACCTATAGCGTGAGTGCGATAGTGTGCAGGCAATCTAATGCTAGCTGACCCTGGCTGGGAGGGGAGATTACAGACCCTAACATTATCTGATGTCGCTAGTGGCAGGAATGCAGTGATCAGTGAAAAATTCTATATACTGACACTGTACTAATGGCACTGGCTGGATGATGGGGTGATCAAAGGGTTAATACGCGTGATCAAGAGGGTTAAATGTGCTAGTTAATGTGTGCGTGTAAAATGTAGTGCTTTTGCTCAGTGCCATGTTCATTCTTCTCTCCCTGGACCGACGGGGGCAGTGCGGGGGGGGGCACAGGCTTGTTCACAATCCAAAATAGAAAGCGACGTAAGGTTACGTTGCTTTGCCCAGAGCAGTTGCTCCCCCACACAATGCGGGTAGGCAGTTGGCAAGTTGTTAAAAAATGAAAAGAAAAAAAAATACCATTCTAAATTCTCAATACAGTATTTTTTATTTTTTAATTATCGAATAAAAAATACTTTTTATCATAGTAACATTATACTACTTTGGGGGGTGATCAGGGTTTTTTTCTTTTACACAATGTTTGCTTTGAACTGTCATGAATGAGTTAAGTTCACAACAGTTCAATATAATAGTGATCTGTGATTGACTAGAGTGCTGTGATTGGTCTCATGTATCATGTGAGAGCTGTGAGCCAATCACAGCTCACCAGGAAGAGAAGCAGAGCCGTTATGAATCAAATTGATTCATAACAGCTTTGCTAATATTGTGATCACATAGCGATCACATGATCACCGGGTCCCGTTCACTGTGATCTTCATTCTGCTGTGTTCTTTGGACACAGCAGTTGCAGATGGGGAGCATAGTGCTCCCCCTACGTTATTAAAGACAGAGTGACGTGACCATACGCTGCTTTGCCTGTAGCTGCCGCCCGTCCGCAGTACATTGCAGGCGGGCGGGCATGCGGTCGGCAAGCAGTTAAAGTGTAACTAAAGGCAAAACTTTTTTTTCCATTTTGGATAGAGTAAGGAAGGGTTATAACCCCTGTAATTTCCATTTTTCATCTGTGTCCCATAGAAGAGATTTCCTTTCGAATAGCCAAATCAAGAGGTGAGAGACAATTCCTTCAAAATCAAGGAATCCCGGGGTGTCATCAGGGTGATGAGAACCAATATTTGGAATTTTCTTTTACTTTGACGTTCAGTGATAATGGTAAACAGGACAGATAGCGAGGGTGAATCTCCCTAGCAGGGGCATAGACAGCAATAAAAACTGATGGCTTCTAATCCCTCTCTACTCTATCCAAAACTTTAAAAAAAAAAAAGTTTTGCTTTTAGTTACACTTCATGTAGCAGCTGGATTTTAATTACAGTAGTGTACTGTACAATACTGTAAGTGCTATTGGCTATTTAGCCAATGAAAAGGAAACCTGGCTGTAGAAGATTCTTACATACTAATATATCTCCTCCCACCCACTGCACCTATAAAGCTTCCCTACACATTTGGTTGACAGTCGAAAGGGGCAGAGGATGGGAGGAATCTGTGGTAGCTCTTTAGGGATCCCGAGCTCTGCAGGCACAGTAAGAACCAACTAACGAATCAACCAGTCTCTTGGTGGTTAAATTTTCCCTTAGTCAAAAATCAGACATTAATGCTGTATATTATTTTGAATATCAAATTCTCTTAAAAAAATCATATACAGTACATTGAAACTCAGCATTATTACATTTTCCAAAATTCATTTATTCAGTTTCCTGTCAGGAAAATTTAGGTGACAATAAAAATAAAGCCACACACATTAATCACGAAGACAGTTTGACATTTGATCAAATTAGAATGTTAGAGGCTGACAAGCTGCAATATTCAACAAACATAAAATGTCTTTCTTCCAAAAGAAAATGTCTTCATGTTGCTGTACCTAATGTTTTTTGTCCTATATAGGAAGAAATTAATTGTTTGACAGTTTACAAATGTCAATGAGCGTGCCTTAGGCAAATTGTGTTTTTAAACCAGCATTTAAGTGTTCTCCACTGTTTATGTAAGTTGCTATGCATGTGAAAACCATCCTCATAAAAATTTGATGTATAGCATAATCGTATTCTCTCCTCCCCTTCTCTTGTGTAGCAATGCTAACAGATCACCCAGGCACCAGGTAATGTACTGTGGGATACCAGCAGGGGCATGCCTTTTCCCTGCTCTCAGGAAGTGGAGACAGTGATGTAAGGCAGCCTTTCTCAACCAGGGTGCCCAGGTACCCTGAGGTGCCTGAGGAGGTTTCTTCAGGGGTGCCTTGGCAAAATGTCTAAAATTGTCCAAAAATTGTATACAAGTCAGAGGGTGGAACAAGCCTGCCTTTTAATTACACAAAGCCACAGGTCTAAATTGTGCACCATTACGACCTTTTAGCCGCCGGCGTCCTGACAACCAATGGCATCATCAGTTGATAAGGAGGATGTCAGCTGCCTGTACAGCATCCTAGTTTGACCCTCCCCTTCCCCTCTCCTGAGTGATGGAGAAAAACTGAGGGAGAAGACAAACATTGAAATACTAGTCAGTACCAGGGTGCAAAAGTGTATTTGCTTTTGAAGAATAAATCCCCTCTAATGTTGGGTGTCCTACATGTGTGGATGTTGCTGCGTTATATAAAACTTTTAGAATAGTTTTTCACATTTTAGAATGGGGATGCCTCAAGACTGTCCATAATTTTAAAGGGTGCCTTGACTACAAAAAGGTTAAGAAACACTGATGTAAGGGACCTCGGGATGGTGGCGAAGTAACAAAACGTATGTGCTGTCACATGTTCATTTAAAGGAAATCTGTACTAAGGAAATATGTATGATGCCATAACTAGCCTGAACATTCTAGTTTCTTGGCCGCCAAGCAGATCAGATGTCTTCAGTAATTTTTGAGTAACTGACCAGGAACTACCATGCAAATCATGAGTTTTGACTTTGACTTTTCTAGTTGCATGCTTCTTCCAAGTCAGTGACTCAGAAAGTCTTAATGACTTTAATACCACTTTATAGCTGAAAGACAACTACAGCGCAGTTCTCTCATTTTGTGAGGGCGTCTATAGATGTCCTCCCAGAATGCACCGCGCCTTCACATCAGTGAAGAAGAAAAATTACTTAT